AGAAGAGCTCCAAGGGCCTTACACTGAACCACTGTTCATAGGGTTGTGAGATGACTGGCTTCAGTAATCAACAAATTTCCATCCTGGACACAGTCTGGGTCAGTAATTACTAGAATTTTCTGAAGTCCAGTAATAATGATAGCATTCCACACTGGCTACAATTCAGGTAAGGAAAGTTCCAAGGCTGTCAGGGAATGACTGATTATTCCTGCTCTTTTCACCACCCTGGCCATGCAAGAGTTCCTGGTACAATTAAGGCATGCTTCATTGGCCAACTCTTTACACAGAGCTCAAGGCCTGATAGGAATCCCTTAGATCACAAAGTGCTCCAGGGGAACTGGGGTGAATGCACCATCACAGTCAGGAAGAAATGGGCACAGCATGTCTGTAGAGCTCCTTGGAGAGAGCTTAAACAAACCCTGAGGCTGCACACAATGAGAAGGGTCAATACAGATGAGACCCAGCCCCCTCAGACAACCCTTCCCCTGCAGGCACATCTCAAGCCTCTCCCACCAGGAAGGTGGCAGCAGGGGAAGGAAAAGGGGAGGCTGGCAGAGCTGGTGCTCCTGTCCCTCTGCAGCCAAGGAGAAGCTAAAAAAGGAACACGGAAGCTTTCCTACACAAACCACATTTATTGGTGTTGTTCCAGTGCTTCATGGACTGTTATGCATCAAAAGCAGCACTGAAATTGGCACTCTTCACAGAAAAGGAAGGGATCCACCCCAAAACACTAAATGTCAGGAAACTTTTGTGACACAGGGTAAAGAAACATAGGCTACCGCTGCAATTCAAAATGTTCCTGCTCGGAAGATAACCGGGAAGCAGCATGGCTGGTTCACACCTTCCACCAGAGCCAGGACCACACTAAACCCCCAGAGCCCTTGCTGTGAGCCCTCCCAGAGGGGTGGCCAGAGGCTAAATGACTAACCACCCAGAGTGCACCACCATTCCCAGAAAGTCTTACAAGCTGGAGAGCCTCCTCATTAACAAGCAGATTTCAGGAAATACCCCAGTTGTGCAGGAAAGGAGCTGAAATCAGTCATCCACTTTCACAAGTTAATTTTAACACTGTCAGACAAAGAAGTCTGGACAAAGAGCCACAGTAACCCAAAGAAGCAGAACTGGTAAGATAAAATAACCATTTGGATTATTAAAACATTAATTAGGAGCATAAAGGAGCTGGTTCAGTTAAGAGCACAGGTTATTTATCTCTCCAAAGAAAAGCAGAGGGCTTACACAAATGGAAGATCTCTCAGTATGAAAGTAAACATCAAAATACTAATTAAAAAGCACATCTAAACATGTTTATCATGGCTTGTATCCTACAAGAAAAGCAGAATGGATGTCTAAGCAGATTTTTTGAACTAATTAGAGCAAGTTAAAGCCCCAGCTGGGCCAATCCAGCCCCCTTCTTTCCATGTACAGGGAAGCCCATACCCAGTGCCATTACTGCATGACGTGTTTTGTTGCCCAGGCACATAAATACAGCATGGTACTAATAAAGACAGCATGGTACTTTCTGCAAGGAAAATAACACCTTCCCTCTGTAATTTCTGTAGGATAGGTTGCCCTAATTGCATTTTCATGGGGAAGATGGATAGAATCCTATTTAATCACCACCACAAAATCACTGGGGAACTTAGTATTTGGATGTTTTAAATTATTACAGTATGAATAGTTATGAAAGTGTGATGGAAAAAGTCATCCTTATGCTGGTTTGACTTCACTGCAAATTCTGAAGTAGAATCTACAAAGGTATGAGTCAGTGTGCAGAAGCTGATTTGTTTCCCAGGTTTTGTGAAGTGAAAGAAACATGATGTTCAGCATCACCTTCCTGTGCTTGCATTGAAGTCTTTCATCAGTACCCTGATTTTAGATTGTTCTATCAGGGGAGGGGTGAGACATCTAAAAAGAGAAAATTAATTGTTCTAAGTGTTTAGCAGCACCTCAATAAGGTAGACAGAAAAAAACCAAAACTTTTAAGTAGTCTGGACAAAATTAAATGCCTCATTTTGTTATGCAGTTTTTGTCTAATATCTGTAAGTCCCTTTCTACATACAGTTGGAGAATATGACACACCTATAAAAAAGGATTAGAAAATGATTGGAGAAAACAATGATTGGATTTCTGATTGAAAAAAATTTAGGGTGTCTACTCAAACCATGCTCCCTCCCCCTCAAAAAAAAAAATCAGACCTCCTTCAGCTCACAAAGATGCAAAAAGAAGGAAAAAAACCCAAAACAGTGTGAGGAAGAAGGGGAAGGTCCAGCTGCTTTCTTGTGCCCCTGGCTGAGTGGGTGGCAGGGTGAGGCTCCCATTGCAGCTGGGGCTTCCCCAAAGCCCCCACCTTCACTCTTCCCCCAGCAGCCCCATTCCCACCCAGCCATGTGGGAACAGGTGAACTTGCTGTCGCTGCAATAAAGCAACCTGGTGAACCAACCCTTTCAGTCTCTGGGTACTTATCTCCTGGTTGCTTTAAAGGGTTGCTAAAAAGAAAAGAAGGAAACAGTATGAGGCTTCTCTGGCTGGCAGTGGGTGGGGGAAATAAGTGTTTTATAGTGAAAGAGGGCAAAAGACAATGCAGACTTGGCATTTTTGCAGTGAAGAGTGAATGTCCTCCTTCCCAGAGGCAGCAGCTGAAAATCATAGACTCAGAGAATAGTTTGGGTTGAAAGGGGACTTTGAAGACCACCTCATTTCAACCCCCCTGCCATGGGCAGGGATGCTTTCCACTAGATCTGGTTGCTCAGAGTCCCATCTAACCTGGCCTTGAACACCTCCAAGGTGCCTCCAAATTGGAGGTGCCCTGAGATTTATTTCTCAGGGAAGTCACAGCCCCTCATCCAGAAGGGCATCCATCCCCAGCCCTGGACAGGGCACCCCAGAATGGGATGGGGGCACTCCACAGCTGGGGACAACCAGGGCAGGAGGCATCAGGTTGGGGGGCAGACAGAGGGACCCCAAGATGGAGGTATGGCTGGGTGCTGTGCCAGGCAGGGCAAGTTCTCACATTTGGCCCAGTGCTGCTGGAAATGGGAGCTAATGGGCAAGGGTGTTTCTGGTGGTGTTTGCTGAGTCAGAGGTGATGAGATGAAGAAACACCGATGAGAAGCTTCTATGAGCACTTCTGGTTTCTTCGTAATTTTGTTTTATAGGGGTTTTCAACTTGATGCAACATTTTGGGGCTTAGCATGCACTCTTCTATTCCAGTCTCTACAAAACCAGCTCTGGAGTGGCAGAAAGAAAAGCAAAGTTAGGTGATGTCTAAAAATACCTGCAGAACTGTCACCCCATCTTCAGTGTACCTATGCCAGCCAGGAAGCCAGCCATATAGGCACTAACATTCACTTGGGAGTTTCTGTGGGAGATGTCACTGTGCCTTCTTTCCCAGGAGGGAGAGTTCAGCCTCTCAGGGAATTCCATGAGAATTTGGAACTGTTCCATAGAATTTGAACCCCACACTTAGTGCTCAAAGCCTGTGGCATGCTCCAGAGGCTGCCCAGAGGCAGTGAAAGAGTTACCTCTGGAGCAGAGCAGCAGCTCCTGGTGATGAAGTGGATAAGCAGGCACTTCATTCATCTGCTTCTAGCACTGCCTGACCTTGGGCCCTGGCAGAGGAAAGGCATCTGCTCCTGGGAACAAAGGGCAGGGGAAGGAGGATGGCTCAAGGATACTGCTGGCCTACATGGGATCAGAGCAGGGCAGCTGGGCCATGGCCGCACCTGGCAAATGTCATGGGTCACTGGCTGCAGTGCACCCACTGCGGGAAGTGCATCCATACACTGCCCAAGCCCATCTTCTGTTTTAACAGGGGGGAAAAAGATCAGTCTTTCTCCCCTTCCCTTCCCTTCCCTTCCCTTGTTTTTATTTGCCTCACTATGGGAGCATATACTGGAGGCAGTTTATACTGGGCTGGACCTATGGTGTCTGTAGAGACAAGAGTCCACTTGAGGAAAGCTGGTGGTTGAGTTTGGGTTTTTTTCAGTTTTTCAAAAGATGCAGCTGCAGCTACCTAAATGCAAATGCTCAAGGAGGAGAAACACGAAATGCTGAGGGCTGAGCCTTTTCAAGCCTAATGACTGGACATAGCCCTGCTGGAGTGAAGCAGGAGAGTAAGGGCTCCAAGTAGCTCAGCCACCCCTGGTGCCATTCATTTCCACACGGTCCAGTGCTTTCTCCTCCCTCCTGAGGAGACGCTGTGTTGGTGTGGGCGCTGCAGCTGCACATGGGGTGTCCCACACTGCTTTGGGGACAAGTTGGACACACAGAGTGGGGGCAAGCAGCAGGGCAGGTGGCTGAGTGTCCCCAGAGCAGCGTCCCATCCTGTGCCACTGAGAGCCACCACCCTGTCAGCTGGACAGACAGGCAAGCAGGGCTTGGCCCGGGTGCAGAAGGAAAGGATCCAGGGCTCTGTTGACATAACAAGCCACTAGAGAGCACTCTCAAATGTATTTATACCCTTTGCCTAAGTGCTAGTTCATAAAAACACGCGGTTGCCATGGCCTGGTTTACAGCACGTCTAAAAAGAGAGCTCCCAAACATACCAGGTTTTCTGAGGCCACTGCAAAGGCGGTCAAAGCCTCCCTTGTGTGGCACCTTTCCCACCCTCTGGGACCCAGGCACAGGGCAGCACCCACCAGCTCCATGCATCCCTTCCTGTCCCACACTGCTGTCTGTTTACAAATAAATGTCAGGACAGTATTTTTAAAAAAATTTAAATAATATTGTGCAACTATAGTTTTTTCAAGTTTTCTTTCTTCTTTTTTTATATATACAAAAAAAATGCAGTAAGTATTTAAAGTTCTTAGTTTCCTTATGCTTAGTGTCAGGAAAAAAAGAAAAAAAAAAAAGAGAAAAAAACCCCATAAAATGCCAATCTGGCAGCTGGTTAGTTCAGCAGCTATCAACAAAAGCACCGTGCAGCTGAAAAAATCTGCCAGGAAAAAGTATGTTCAAAAAAAAAAAAGTAGGTTGGAAAAAAAAATAGTAATCACACGTTCTTCATTAAAACACTTTTAATACTACACAAGTTACAGTATCACCTTTTAAAAAGTTAAAAAAGGAATATTAACAGTGGCACTGTTGCAGCTAAAGCACTTCAAAATAATAAGAAAAAAAATAAAAATAAAAAAGCTTGTAGCCCAGGAAGTAGTAATAAAGGAAGAATCTACCGGAATATTATTGTAATTGAGCAAAGCAAACAAAAGGAAAAAGCAACATTCAATGTGAGAAAAATGAGCTATGTATGAACACCCTCAAATTTTTTTTAATTCTTTTTTTGTTTTGGTTTTTTTTGTTTCATTTTGTTTGTTTTTCTTTAGCAGTTCTGAAGTTTTATGGTGGAGATTAGACTTGGCTGGGGGCTCAAAGTCAGCTGAGTGAGCATAGCCACCGTGTGCCATTTCTTTTCCATCTATGTTGTTTCTGGGCCACTGCCTGGCATCACCGGCTGGGGAGCTTCCATCCTCTCCAGGAGTCACAGAGCTGCAGGAGCGGGCGGCTGGCGGGAGGAGGAGGAAGGTGTGCTTCCCTACAGGCCTCTCACACCAATGTCCCTCGGCCCCAAAACAAGGGTGTGCTTTGTCAGGAGCAGGTCTCACCCTCGGCACGCTCACAGCTGGGACACCTGATGACACAAAAGCGGGGGCTCTTTTAGGCAGGCTTTGGAATTCAGTTTGGCTTCTTTTTTAAGAATAGGGAAACCATCTTAATCACATGAACTTCATCCCATGTAAGGTATTATGCCAAGCAACTTTGAAGAACTTGTTACCATCTATCAGCTCAAATTCCATTTTTTTTTTAATAAAGTGCCTAAATACACATTTACACAGATCATAGTGGTTCCAAAGAATCCTTTACAGTTGGCATTTTTTTATATATAAGTATATATATAGGTATATATATATATATGTGCGTTTTCTTCAAATTGGCTAAATGTGTTTACATAAGACACCAATCTTGACTATAAGTTTTAAAGCGTAATATTGACTCAATGAATTTGTTTATCATGCAAGTCTTATCTAATATTACATTGACCTGTAATATGGAACACAATGTAGTGGGTGTGCTCATTAAACACTTCATAGAAAATTACTGTGCATGTGCAGTTCTGATCTTCAAATACTAATAATGACCATTTCTTTTTAAAAAAAGTAGTCTTCCAAAAAAAAAAACCCCAAAACTACTCTGCATTAAATTGCAGTTTGAACATTATCACAATAAGAATGGTTGAGTAAAAAGCACCCAAAAATCTTCAATTTTATAGTTGGCTGAACAGATTTTTCCTCCTCCTCTTCTGATACTGGAAGTGTTTATTAGCTGGTCCCTGGGAAGGGACGACCTCGCCACCCTTTTGCTCAGAAACAACCACATATAACCGAGTTATAAACACCTCGACAGAAGGGCTCGTACAGCTGCAGCGTTGCCAATGAACTATAAACAGCACAAAAACATCACTATTAGACTTGAACTATTTCTAGTAACCAATGATTTATTGATTTTAGAAGTCTGCTTGGTGATGCAGAAGCGTGATCAAAAGAAGTGGCTTTACAAAAGAGTTCTCCAAAGTAGCTTAAAAGGCAGGGCCAGGGCCATTATGTGCAGCCCTAATTGCTTTCATTTCAACCAGTTTATATTTTCATTTTCAAAGAATAGCAGTAGGTTTGTTTCAAGCATACGTAATAAGGAAATTACAGGTTTCCTCCACCCACATTTGGGCTGTCACTGATATGCCCACGGGCAATTTGGCAGAGCCTCAGTCACTGCTGTCACTGTACCACACCGTACCTGCCACTACTTGGAAACACCGGGTCAGCGATAGTAACAATAGCAACAGCACTAGAGGTGACTGGTAAGCAAAATCAAAATCCATACGCACTATCTGAAAATTAAAGTAAAATAAAATAAAGTCTCTTCCCCACATCCCCAGCTTTGTCCAAAGACACAAAAGCCCCACAAGTGACACTGAAGACCTTCAGAAATGGCAGTGCTACACTGGCACCTTCGCCAACCATGTAACTAAGTTCGTTATCAAAATTCCATGTTATGGTATGCAATTGGTGAATAAATGCAGTTTTGTAATCTTAGAACTGATCACGAGAACTGCAGTCAACTTTGCCTTAAAAAAAAAAAAACAAAAAAAAAAAAACAAAACACCAAACCAAAACCAAACAAACCCAGAAATCCCTAACTCAACAGCGCCTCTTGGACACCTCTCCACATCTACTCTGGTGACAACTTCCCTTGAGAAACAGTGAGCAATTTGGGACTGGATCTGGAGGATCTTCCATCACAACCTGAGGCACGCGCTTCTGGGAGAAAGCCCTCCTGCTCCCTAAGCTCGCCTGGCCAGTGGGATGGCAAAGGGCATGCCTGCCTTGGCTAGCCACTCTTGTCCCCAGCTGCCTCAGACCAAGCCTGCATGCGACCAGCTCTACAGGACAGGGGCCAGGAATAAGGAATCACAGACAGTAAGGCAATCTTTACAATGTCAGAAAGTGTATTTGGCATTTAAAAAAAAAAAAAAAAAGAAGAAAAGAAAAGAAAAAACAGAAGAAACAAGTGCATACAAATACAGCTAGAAGCATTTCTGGTTTGCCAAGTGCTCTCTAATAAAAGCAGCGCAAGTCACAGCCTACATTGAACAGTAACTGTCACCAGGGAAGCACAACAAATAGTTGCTATAACAAAAGGGAAAAAAAGAAAAAACGAAACAGAAAAAAAAAAAAAAAAGAGCAGAATTAGAAGAAATGCCTTTATAATAAGTACATACCTTTTGTCTTCAAAAAATATAGAAACACAATGTATTCAAAAAAATCAAAATTATACAGCCATGTTTATGAAGTCTACATTTCCCTTGTCTTGGAGATATATATATATATTTATATATATATATTTATAGATATATACAGAATTCGAGCAGTTCGAGTTCAAGGTGACGTCGGGCAGCGAGCGCAGGCGAGTCACGAGTCCCTCTCCTTTTTCACTTTCACATCTCCGGCCAGGATGGTGGCGATCTCCCCTTGCATGAAGGCCCAGGGGACGTTGGAGCCGACCAGGGGACACTTCTCCCCGCTGGGGCAATACACCTCCCCGCTGGCCCCCTGCTGCTTGATGCTCTGCCGGGAGCAGGGGAAGCAGAACTTGTGGGAGGGGACGGAGGGGCACTGCACGAAGTGGGTGTCTTCCAGGCGCTCGTGGCAGAGGGTACAACACAACGGGACGCTGGCGGCGAGGGACGAGTCCGGCAGGCTGGCGGGGTGCACGGGCTCCAGCCCGCCCGCCGCCGCCGCGTTGGCCCCCTGGCCCGGCACCTCCCTGCCGGGGCCCAGCCTTCTTTGGTTCATGGCGGAGGGCGAGGGGGGGCTGCTGCTGTTCCTCCGCGTGGTGGAGTGGACCTGGTTGGCGTCTTTGGAGGCGTGGTTGCCCCCGGCATTGTCCGCCACCAGAATGAGGGCGGCCATGGGGGACTGGCCGTTCTGTGCCGCCTCGGGCGGCGTGGTCCGGTTGGAGTGGGGCGAAGCGGTGGGCGGCGGGGGCGACATGAAGGGGGTGGCCGTCAGCGGCAGCTTCATCCCTTCCGACGGGGTGGGCAGCCAGGGCTGCACCTCCCCGTTGATCTTCGGGGGTCCAGCCTCGCCCTCCGGCTCGGGGGAAGGCTTCCTCTTCCGGGCGGCCCGGGCCCCTGCAGAGGCAGAGGAGGGGGGAAGGAGGAGGGTAAGAAGGCAGCGCAGTCACAACGCATCGCCGAGCAACCGCGGAAACGGGTGGCCTCGGCCACCCCCCGGGCACCCGGCCACCCAAGCGGCCCCGCCACCGCCCCGCACGCCCAAACCCGCCCGGCATCCCCCGCCCCGCATCCCTGGAGAGCCACCCCTCCCGCCCCGTCATCCCCTGCCCTCCCCGCCGCCCCCCGGTCCCCGGCTCTTCACCTGGCTTGGCCACGGAGCCGTTGGTCTCGTAGCCCAGCAGCCTGCCGCCCGCCATGCCCGGCTCTTTCTTGAATTTGCTGTCGAAGGGGGCCACGGTGTGGCTCCCGTGCTGGTGCAGGGCCAGCAGCGTGTCCCGCACTGTCTTGGGCTTGGCCAGCCACTCCTGCTCGGCGCCCGGCCGGCCCTTGCCCTCCGCGGCCAGCTCCGCCGCCGCCGCCGCCGGCAGGCTCTCGGCGGAGCCGCGCTTCTCCTTGGCGCCACTGTCGTGCTCCCCCGCCGCGCTGCCGCCGCCACCCGAGGAGGAGGAGGAGGAGACGGAGCCGGGGCGCTTGTGCCCCAGCTCGCCGGGTTGCCCCGCCGCCTGCCCCGCCGCCTGCGCCGCCGCCGCCGGCTGCTGGGGCACGGGCACGGCCATGGGGGCGGGCGCGGCGGAGATGGCGGCCAGCGAGGCGGCGGCCGCGGCGGCGGCGCGGCTGCCCAGACCGCCGATGGCGGCGGGGAGCCCGGCACCGTTCACCAGCGGCACAAGGGTGGGCGGCACGGCGTGCGTCCGCCGCGGGTTCGGGCTCTGCCGGTTGAGCTCTGGCGGCTCCTCGGGCTTGGGGAAGCCGTTGGGCACCAGGATCCCGTTGACCTGCCGGCCGCCGCCGTACTCGGCGCCCAGGCGGGGCGGCGGCCTCTCGGCCGCCAGCGAGTAGCGCTCCAGGGGCTGCGGCGGGGGCCGCGCCGCCGCCTCCGCCGCCGAGGGGTGGCCGAGCTGCTGCTGCTGCGCCAGGAGCTCCTTGGCGGAGAGCGGAGGCTGCTTGGCGTGGGGCGGTGGCGGGGCCCGGCCCTCGGGGAAGCAGCCGTGCGCCCGCTTCAGCTGCCGCGCCGTGTCGATGACGAACTCCACGCGGTCGGCGCCCTCGTAGTTGACGCAGCCCCGGCAGACGGGCTCGGTGAAGTCCCAGATCATGGCCCAGGGCATGCGGGGCAAATCGCACAGGTAGCACGACTGCCTGCGGGAAGCAGCCGCCACCGCCGCCGACGACATGTCCCGGCCCCGGGGCAGCGGCGAGCGCCCCCCGCTCCGGCTTCGGCCGCTGCCTCCTCCGCCCCTCGTCACCGGGGTCCCGACGGGCAGGCTCGGGAGCCGCGGCCGCAGCGGGACCGTCCGCCGGGCCCCCTCCCCCTCGCCTTCCTCTTCCGTGCGCTGGAGCGGGGCGCGGCGGGCGCCCCGGCAGGCAGAGCCGCTGCGGGGAACGCCGCTCCCGTCGCCGTCTCCGCCGGCGGCGCTCACAAGGCGGCGGGGACGCGCATCTCCGCCGCGCGGCTGGCGCAGGGCTGCGGCCGCTGCCGCCCGCACGGCTCCCCCGCTCTCTGGCTACTACGGGGCGGCGCGNNNCGTGCCGTGCCGGGCTCCAGCCGCCACCGCCGCCTCTGCGCGCCGCCGCTACGATTCTTCGACAGTGCCGGCCGCGCCTGCGCGATGGGCGCCCCCGCCCCGCTGCCGCCGCCGCGATCCCAGCCCCGGCCCCTGCCCGCGCCCCCGCCACCGGCACCGGGGGTTCCTCCTGCCGCCGGGGGCCGCCGTGCCCCCGCCCCGTATCGCCGCCGGGGAGGGCTGTGGGAGCGGAGAGGGACAAGGCGAGGGGCGGGAGTGCCCTGCAGTTCCCTCCTTCTTTTCTGATTTTATTTTTATTATTGTTGGGTGTATTACTATTTCCCTCACCGCCGAGGGGCTTTGCCGAAACCTCCCACCATGGGCGCAGCGGTGCGTGGGGCGCCTCCCGCAGTGCGGGGCTCAGTGTACCCCCTCGTGTCCCTCGCCCCGCTCGCCCTGTGACCTTGGACACGGCGCCCCGGGCGCGCCCCGCAGCTGCGAGGTCCCCCCCGCCGGGCCGGTCATCGCCACCTCCGGGCAGGGGCCGGCGCCCCGCCGAGCAGTGCTCGGCTTTGTTCTCCCCGCCGCAGCAGGAGGCACCATTAGAAATAAATGTAACGATTACCCAGCTTTTTTTTTTTTTTTTTTTTTTTTTTTTTCTTAACTGTTGTCATTGTGCACAGGAAATAGGACGTTCTAGATTTCCTGTCATTTTAAACCACAAACCAGCAGTTCTCTAATGCAGATTAGTGAAATTCACACAGACTAAGCACACGCCGTCTCGTTCCCAAAAAAAGAAAAACCTGTTTCCCCGACCCCCTTCCACGCTGTGAATCGCTCATCCGCCACCTGCACCCTCACGGAAACACAGGGTCGGGGCAAGGGAAGGAGCAAGAGAGGGTGTTCGCTCTCCTCGTGTGCCACGGGAGGTGAAGCAAGCCCTCACCGGGCGCATCCCGGCACGTACGGTCGGCTGCACGCCTTTGCCCGTGCAGGATGAACACGGCGGAGGCTGCTCCCCCCGACAGCCGTGCTCCAGCCGCCCTTCCCACGGCGTTATGTAGGTTACGGAGGAGGGAGGGAAAGAGGGCGGGAGGCGGGAGCCGGCCGGGGCTGGGGAAGCTCTGACGTCCGTCGCCGCCGCCGGGAGGTGCCTCCCCGCGGCTGGGGGCCGCCCGACGGCGCTGCGGGGCTGCCCCGCCACCAGCGCCGCCGCTCCGCTGCTCTCGCTCGGCCGGGCTGCCGAGGGGCGTCGGGGCAGAGCCGCGCCCCTCTCGCCCCGCGCTCGCTCCCGCGCCGCCCGCCGGGGCCGGGCACTGGGTGTCGCGGCCGCCCGTGCGCCCGGGGCTGCGGGGCGCCCTTGCTTCCCCCTGCCTCGGCCTCCTGCTCGTCCTGGCGCTGGCTGCAGCGGCGGCCCCCCTGCCAGGTTGGGTGACTTTGCAACTGCACGGCCGGCTGGGCGCCCTGGAGGCGCCGCGTTGTGCATAAGCGAAATAAAAGTCAGCCCCGGCCCCCAGTCCAGCCCCGCACGTCGTTGCGGCGGCCGGGGCTGCTAGCCCGGGAGCCCTCACAGCCCCTAGCAGCCCTGCGGCGGCCGGCCGGGGGCGGAAGGCAGAGCAAGGAGAAGGGGACAGCCCTGCCGTGGCCCCGACGTGCTCCCGGAGAGCCAAGGGTTAACATCGGCTCGCTTTTCCCGAGCAGCCCTCCTTTCACATTGCATCAAAGTCCTTTAAAGCTGTTTCTCTTCCCTCCTCCCCTCCCCGGCTGGAAAGACGATTTATCCATGCAAGCTAAGTAAACAGATCTTTGTTTTCGTCTTCCACCCACTGCCCTCTTTCTCCAGCCCGAAGCTGGAGCCTCGCCAAGCCGGCTGCAGCGATCGCTGCCTCCACACGCACACACACACTCACACACACACACGGGGCGGGGGAAGAAGCCGAGTTTCTCGGGTGAGGCAATGCGCCTGCAATTGGCAGGGACAAGGCAGGAATTGTAATTGCACTTCATCATGTGATGGCTTATGAAAGAGGAAGTTTGGATGTTTTAGTCACGTACTCCTTTGCCCTCTTGCTTTAGCCTCCAGGTTCTCCGAAGGAAAAAATTACATATATTTATATATACTGGTGGAAAGCCAAGAAACAGTGTGTTTGCGCATTTCAGATCATGAGCAGAGCTGGAGTGCTAGCTGAGCGAGGCTGCAGGGTAAGAAGAAAGCAAAGCTTTGAGCTGTGGCAGGCTTTTAACTGCAGGACAGAAAATGTGATCTGTATTTATTTTCCTTTATTTTTAATGAAAACTAGCTGCGTGGAAAAGTCAAGATGAGCAGTGTTCTGGTTTTGCCGCATTTGCTGCCTTTGAATTAATTCTGGTGGAAAAGGAAAAAAAAACCCAACAAAATCATGTTACCAAGCTCAATGTCAAAAAACTGATAAAAAAAATAGTGGCAGTGCTACATAGGAAATGTGGTTTATGTATCAAATCACAAAAAAAATACCTCAAAGCTGCTGACTGTTACAGCAGTAACTGCACAGGAATTGAACAAATAATGCATTTGTCTCTTGTTCTTTTTTTTCTCTTTTTTGAAACAGAAGCTATCCCTTTGTGCCAGATCTCTGCGAAACGCCCCTTGCTGCCACATACCAAGGCTATAGATAGGAGCAGCAAGTGCTGGACAATGTGTTATAGGGTGCAGGGCTGTGACGGTCTGGGGCAGTCCCTGACCAAGGAGCACCACGATGGCAAGGATGAGGGTGCAGCACAGTATGGAAGGCTTTTGCTTGTTCTGGTGTGCCCAGTGCCATGGGTGAGGGAAGGAGGGGAGAGGAAGGATTGTAATGAGGCAGCTCTTTGAGATGAACTCTGTTTGCCACTCCCACATCAATGCCATGCCCCTTCTCACAATGTGTTTTTTTGCTTTTGTCAGTGAACCACACTGAGATCTTGCTGTGTTTCTCTTCCTCCCTGCAGGGTTTTATATCCTTTCCCTCTTATCCTCTGCACTGGCAGCAGTGATTTTGTGCAGACCCTTGTCCCAGAACTGTGGCCCCACCCACATACCTATCCCCCATGGGGCCTGCCCTTCTGTCTGTGTCCAAACCAGTGCTCCCCACTTGATCACCTCTGCCCTTGGCATTGTTCTTTCCCTTCTGATTGAGGGCTGTCTCACATCCTTCTCCAGCAGACACGCACTGCTTCCTCCATAGCTCTTATTTGCATCCTTCTGTTGTGGCAGAAGTCCTGCAGGGTCATATCAAAATGGCCAGAGTCAAGATAGGAAGGACAATTATGCTGAAGGATGCTACCACCTCTCCTTCATTGATTCATAATGAATTATGGAGGTTGCTCTCTCAGAACTGAGAGAGGAGAGGCTGGGAATAGTCCTTGAAGTCTTGGATTTAGTCAGACGCAGGTGACTTTGGGCCAAAAATGTTTTAATCTAGTGCTGTAGGGGGGAAAAAAGATACTGATGCAAATGAGGGTGTCATCAGGCACAGCGTGTTGACATAAACAGGGTTTGGACAGGCTCATGGTAAGCTACTGATCCTGCAGATGTTTGCAACCAGTTACAACTTTACTCACAGGAGCATCACTATGAATGTAAAGCTGTGTGCACTCATGGGCTTGCAGGATGAGAGCATGCTTCCCCAAGAGCTGCTCATCAGCGGCGTGCTGACGGCTGCCCTGCAGCCTGGAGCTGACTGCTGATGGCAGGAGCTGACAGAGCCACTGGCACAAAAATACTCCACTGAGGCCGGAGAGAGGTCACTGCACTCACTCAGTGTGAGAAGGACGTGCCAGAGGATTGAGAGGGACTCGAGCAGCTACTCAGTGTCTGCTATTTCCCATACATGGGGCCTTTTATTAACTCCTTGAAGACACTAAATTGCATTGAATGCTGCTGTTTGGTGTTAACTACCGAAGAGCTGCAAGGCACCTAAGCAGAGCCTGCCTAGAAGAGGAAACAGCAGTAGGACAATAGTTTACAATCTGTTCACGGATATGTCTCAAAATATGGAGATACGTATGCTGCTATTCTGCTCCAACGCTTTGCTCTAGACAGTCTGGTCAGGGCTAGTTACCAGGGACTCGCACTGTCAGCAAGAGCCTGTGAGCTACAGCTTCTGCTCCATTGGTGGGCTCTGCTCTAGGCAGTTTGGAGAAAAATTTGCATGCTTTCTTTAAAAAAGGAGACAATTCTGTTTTTAACAGTGCAGTTGACTTTATGCCCTCTTTTCAAGTAGGAGTAGAAAAAAAAAAAAAAAAAAGCAGTGAGGAAAAGATCATGGAAATACTTGAGAAATTCAGAGGTTACTACCCTCCGAAGAGAGCGAAAAACTTCAGCGAGACACTTCCAGATACCAGAAGAAAGGGCAATTGATGTGGAAAAGCTTCCGCCCCTTATCCCCAGGCTGAGTAAATAGGCATGTCGGGTTATCCCATTTACACCCCGCCTTGGTGCTCTGCATTTCGAGCCACAGTCAGCAATTGTCTGCAGCCACGGGCGAGGGGGGCAGGAATGTGGTGGCCGGGGGCTTCCCGGGGAGCAGGCAGAGCGGCCGGCTGGCCGGGTGACCCCTTCCCAAAATAAACAGGAAGCCCAGGAAGCAGTGACCCCTCCGTGACACCGCGCTGGCTCTGCTCCCTGCCTTCTGTGCGGGAGTCGACAGGCTTCCAAATACCCTCAGAAAATTGGACAGGGGTGAGGACTCCACAGGAAACGTTACAAAATAAGAGCAGAAACAGATCGTCTGTTGAAGAAATTACAGAGGGCCTTAAAGCTCCTTCCTTTTAGGCTTCTGGATAGTTGTATTCCTTG